CAAACCCAGTATTGCTTTATTATAATGCAAACCCAGTATTGCTATATTATAATGTAAACCCAATATTGCTATATCATAATGCAAACCCAGTATTGCTATATTATAATGTAAACCCAATATTGCTACATTATAATGTAAACCCAACATTGCTACATTATAATGCAAACCCAGTATTGCTACATTATAATGTAAACCCAGTATTGCTATATTATAATGTAAACCCAACATTGCTACATTATAATGCCAGCCTAAAAACTGCTACAATTTCCCACTCAATCTTTCCAGCTTTCCAAGTTTTTTTTGTGCACTTTCCATTCGACTTTTCGAAGTCCTAATTAACTTTTGCACATTATTCCAGTCAATATTTGCATTCATTCAATTTGTTTACTTTCCATCCAACTATTTCAACACTACACTTCGCGTCATTCCAGTAACAAAATGTCAGTCTACCTTAAAGCTTTAATGACTTTCAAACTAAAGTTTGTTTTTCACCATCTTTTAGTGCATCTCTTAAAACATTTCAACCAATTTTTGCTACCAACGTTTACGATTAACTACAGTCCCTCTGATTGAAATGAACTCTATTTTATTTACCCTACTTCTCGGCGCCAACCAATATTTGTCTTCGATTTAGACATTTTATGGTCGAAACATATTATTACAAATTGGTGGGCTGATTTGTTATTTTTTACACCGCATTTTATTATTTAAATTGGGCGATTTTTACGGATGCTTTTTCGATCATGACAAGGTACGCTATTCCATGCTACAAAAATCATTTATGTACAAAAAAAATGAAGCATTGTTTTATATTTTTGCATCGAATAACGTCATTAGTTGTTGTATAGTTCACTTGAACCCCCAAGAATCAGAAATATCACAGGTTTTTCGATCGACCATGTTAACATGAACGACGCTATTTTGACAAGATGTCAGTATGTGGTACGCGATGTTTTATACCTATTAAAACTAGAAAATGAACACAATTCCCGATATTAATCTTTACATGGCAGGAACTGGATGTTTATGAGTTGGTAGGCTGGTTTTGATACGTATCAGGGTTCAAAAACACAACGTTTTCATAATGCCAGTTTTGTTTACATGGTTTGTTTATGTTGTAGTTGCCCGAATTTGAGGTCAAAGTGAAGTCATACAATGAGGTATCACTTTGCATGACGGTAAATTTGCCGATTTTAATGAATATTCTGACGGTATTGAAATCTTTCTGACTTCCTGAATCCTTCGGCCGAGATGTGAACGATTTGTTTACCCACAATGCGGTTCGAGACAAAGAAATGCTAGTCGTTCCAGACCGGGATAGAGAGACTGTGGATTAACAAACCAACGTATATAAGTTCAGCTCACTTTTACGGTTTTCTAAGCAGCTTTTTTTTTAACTTTTCCGGCAACCTTTTACCCATTGATTTCTAATTTGAATCAAAATTACAACCTTGCACTAAGCATTTTCTACTTTCCTACCAATGTTGATGATTTTATTCATCTTTTACATCACCCCATCACAATTTTACGGTCTTCTAGCAACTATTAAGACATTTCAGGTAACCTTTTTCGACATTCCACTCAGCTTGTCTGACTTTCAAACCAACGTTGCGACTTTCCAGACATTGTTGACGACTGCACTGACATGTTCCCGACAAACGTTCTCAAACTTCCAATCTACTTTGATTCAATTGTTGTTGCTACTATATACTCACGTCCAGCTTGTTTTGAAACGGTCGACTGATACTCAGCTCGATAAACATTTCCAATATTCCCAAGATTTTTAATATATGTAGTGTGGTAGTGACAGCTAGACAAATCAATAATATTAATAACAATGTTGAGTAACTCTGATGCGCCCTGCTTTTAATTTCTTTATATTATCGAATATTCGGTGTTTAGTCGTAGTCTGAATTTTCTTTGACATTTTGGGTATTTTCAAGGCAACGTTGACGATTTTCCTGCCAACCAACTGATTTTGCTTTTCAGTGAAAAATTCTGCACGCAACTTTCTGACCATTCCACCAATCTTTTTTTCAAATGAATATCTCGGCGTTTTTATATATGCCCTGTGAAATCTTTCGATATATCGGATATATAAAATATTGGAGCTAATGATTATTATTGTTTATTTATGTGAAACACGAAAGATGAATATTGATCTCACAATGATGCGCCACATGCATATATAATTGCTATATCTGAAAATTACATCAAATAGGTGATCGCAGTTACGCTTCTTTCAACAAAACCATGATGGATAATTTCCATAAATAAATCATTCTTAACCAGAATCTTACTTCATTTAGCATAATATGTTTAAGTCGCTGTTCACATACATCATTGTATTACTCTTTTCCGTCATAAAATATATAATTTATGTACGAGTCATCCATGTATATATATTACTTGTATGGTTTCTGTTATAAATGCTGTACATATAACACTCACACTTGCAATAGGAATAACAAGTGCTTGGCAAAAAATGTTACATTAAAAAATACATTCATTAATTAACACACTATTGTCTATATTTGAATAGCGGTATTCACTAGTGCTCTCCAACTCTAGTTTCTTCATGCACACTGAACCATTAGACGTTGTAGGTACTCATCACAATTTGAGACATTTTGCACATTTATTATCACAGGGATGAAACATTGTAAACCAAGAAATAATTTATTTATTTAAAACTTACTTCTGGTCTTATTCGTTGTCTAAATCACAACTGAAATTCTTTATTCATTTATTTACACTAGACTAAGTTTACTTTGCAATTAGTTAAACATTGAACATAATAATCAAGCGAAAAAAAAACGTGCAATTTTCGTACCGAAATAATGCAATGAGATGGTGTCAACTGTTTACCTCGTAAATACGGGTTCTTGATTTTCTGCACCAGGAGGACAGAGGGTGTTATCCGATAGGGACATTTATTAGACCAAATTTGTTGGGTCAATTTGGTTACGAAATTACATATTATGTAGTTGCTACACTACTGGTTACATTAATTCGTGACAACATTATATCTAATAGTGATATTTGCTAATACAAATTAATTTCGCTTTAATTAATGCTTTCCAACAAAAACGATCTTTATTTGCTAAATAAAAAAAGACTGTTCATAGCGACGAAAGAACATTTCTTTTGTGTAACGATAACTAACTTACATTAATTCATGAATTACCATAATAATATTTTGTGAATATACATGTATTTAACGTTTTGTGTGGTTTCAGCCCTCTTCGACTTTTGTAAACCACTATCTGTATTGATTTGACATTTTATTGTAGAAGCTCTGTCATATTTGTTAGCAAAATAGCAAACATTTATATTTGGTGCAAATTAATATTTCCAACTTTGATGATTATTTGATGTTACAGCAACTAAAACAGAATAGACAACATACTGCTATAATTGTCCTCTTGTACACAGTATTGAATAAGTATATATGGACAGGGAACCTATGTAAGCATTAAAGTCTATTATTTATACATCTGTCATCGTAACGCCATAAGTTACAGCGTGCTGTAATTTTATTTAATTTAATTTAATAACCTCATAGTATTTCTACTCTAAGTATTTCTAAACTAAATGCGTTACCTGCAACCCAAATGTAAGTTCCACATTACGTCGCACCGTCAAATAACAAAATATTCAAAAACGCTCAAAAATACCTTAAAGTTATTGTCATGAAAATATTCATTTACGGTGGTACTAAATTGACTGGATTCAGTTTCATGAATTATGACCGTTATGGACAACAAACCCAATTTTACAGGCAATTGATGAAAATTAAAACACCCTCAACCGCATGTATTACATCATTTTCGGAATCGGCGTATCCAAAGTGACAACAATGATGACCCCTTCGCTGTTTCCTTCCCATCTAATTTATTGGATGTGTAATTTTGAGCTGTTATTATTGTGTAGACAAAAAAATAAATTAAAATGTGAATATATAATTATTTTGACATTTCTTACGATAATTCAATCTCTTATTTGATATAATGTTTGAGCTAATGTTCACACATACTTAACATTAGACTCACATTGTACGTACATGCGTATATATTTGTTGTATTATCTCTTCTGTAATTTGTATTGTAACTTTTGTTTTGACAATAAACAAATATCAAATATTAAAAAATATACACATTGAAAAACTACACACATTGTCTCACGACAAAGCCATATCATATACAGTTTTTGGGTGGACTATTGTCATTGCATGGCAACTAAACAACAATCAACAGATCGATACTAGCAGATTCTAGTTTGTGTGATTAATTATTATTCGTGAATAATCACGATTGCTTGTGAATATTAAAACATGCTAGTTTTAGGTCTTTTGTACGGTGTGGTCTGTAGTTGTCCGCTAGCTGTGACCTTTTTCATCAGAGGCACATCATTTAGTTTCCATGACGATTCGTCTTTGATGCAATCACGTCCCACATAATAAGAGTAGTATTCTCTATATCTGTCGTCGATGTAATCAAATGCTGGTCGTTCCTGAGCATATTCGTTACCAAAGAACTGACGTTGAGCTAATCTCCTTCCCTGTGATTGGTTGAATCTGTCCATGGCTGATTTTACTCGTGGTAGCTTATCCTTGTCGATTTCGTCGTCACCATAATTATTGGCATTGTCCGTTCCATATTCACGAGTCATCCGGTAAGACCAGACACCATGTCGAAATGCGTCTCCTGGACCGTCGTGACGCCCTTAAAATGACAAATATAGATTTGAAAAATTATAGTAATCAATTCCACATAAATTTTTGATTTGGGTTCGTTTTACCTGCCACGAAAATGTCCGCCATTAATATTCATCCAACATGAATCTGTTATACAATATATATAGAGCGTATATGTGTGACATGATGTATTATCAGTCCTGGAATGTCACTTCTAGAACAGTTTCTTGAGAAAAATCAACCAATGGGCCACATTGACTGAAAATGGCGTGCATGAAAATTAAAACTCTAATCGATGCAACACATGTATTACATCATTTTCGGAATCGGCGTATCCAAAGTGACAAAAATGATGACCCCTTCGCTGTTTCTTTCCATCTAATTTATTGGATGTGTGAATCTGATTGTTATACAAATATATAGAGCGTATAGAGCGTAAAGCCCTATGTATATACCAAGTTCAAATAAAATCAGTACATGCCAGGACTCGGAATGGCAGAAACTCTTTATTTTGGCACAACTAAAATGGCTGACACACGCCCCCTTGAATAGGATCTTGGAGCGAATGCAGTTTGTGTAGTTCGAAATGATCAGTCTACGTAAACAGGTGCAGATCCCGTTGAAGATGCACGGACGGACACACTTGTTTTTATAAGTCCTCGTTCTCGGATTCTGTCACAATGAAGACTAGCGAGAGACAAGAAATTCCAAACGAGTGAAAACATGTACAAATAATCAATGAGCTTAGTACTCCACCAGTCAAGTATAATGTCAATATTCGAGCCGAATACATCAGTTGTTGGCATAGAAACATGTTCATGTTTGTTTAGTATGTTCTTTAGTATATTTTAATTACCCTGCCAACAATATAACAGTAACTCTTTACTCTACACTGAACATTTAAAATGTACAAATACACAAAACTTTAACTATAGGTTCGGACTCACTCCATCCAGAATAATGCCTGTGTGTGTCAGCCAGTGACTGATTACGTAACACTGCCATACGGTTGTCTCGATGTTCATCGTAGAATTTTAACCGTCTTGGTATGTAGCCGTATTTAGAATGCACGCTACCAAAATCTAAAATAAAGAAATATAATTAAAGATAATT